ATAAGCGAATCAGAGCACGACAAACATTTCAACCGCGCGCCAACGTACCGTCAGGTCAGGACAACTTGCTTAGTATCCACGCCTTCAAACTGGCTTTGGATAAGAGATGGTTAGAACTGTTTCCGAACGAGAGATTACTGAACAGAATGCGACCATTAGGTTCATAACTTCTTTTGTATGCCATACGGAGCGCTTTCACATTAAAAGTCTCTGGACCACACGGCGAGAAGTAAGGTTTCTCTTTCTCTCTGTTTGCAGATAGGCGAAGAAACCGATCATTGAAGAGGCGGATGCACACTCGTGAGCACACCACCGAAGGAATTCTGGACGCTTGATTGGCCTATGGCCACTACCAGTCCTGTGCAACCTGACCTGACCTGAAAATCAGTGTTTAAACGAGTGGGTCCATTTTATTTGATTCAAATACTTTGGCGGCATACTGTTGCATTGTGCGATTTTTTCGTTATCAGCCGCTAAGATCACTGTTATGACTTATTAATAAGCTGTATTTTATATTACAAAAATGAGGTCTCGTAGGGGTGACATCAGGTCAGTTATATTGGTTACTAAATAATGCCTTACAGAACGTCTAGGAAATCCATAGCGGCCGTTTCGCGTACCAGGGATACTGCCCCACCAAGGATACTTCGAGCCAAAAGGTATTATATACAATAATCCTTACCCCTAATCTCATTTAGAAAAACCGCAATTTCTCAAGAGAGTTCCTCTCCCGCAGTGCCTAATGGGAAGCGGGCTGTTTCAAGGTATGTATACATATCTTCCTCTAACTTTTCAGATCCAACTCAAGAGTGGTTCAGGCTGTGAAAAGAAAACCTAAATCCAAGGCTATAACGAGAGAAAAAGCACCAAAATTGATAGCTGAACCTCGAGAACAACCGTTGCCCAAAGTAAACACTGATGATCAAACCATGGTACCAGGTGTTGAATCTAAACGGCGTCGAACAGACACTGCGGAATACATTAAAAAACGCTTTTTATATGACGTGGAAGATGAGGCTAGACGCTTGAAAAATCGAAAACCGCGTGCGCCCAGGCTGCCTACCGCTACTGTCTCAGCCCCGCGCAGATCACGTCTGCAAATGAAGCAAGGGTGGCACAATCGTACCCCATCAGAAGAGGGCTTATTACCCTTGCGAAGTCGGCGTGGTCGACGAGTCAAACCAAAGCAAGATTACAGTCCCATGTCACATGAAAACGAGGGTTCACCAAATTACGCTGTAGAACAGGCTTCTCCCCGGCGTTTAACAAAGAAACGACGAGGGAAGCGGGGTCGTAGAAAGCAAGTTGTACCAGAACCGGAGGTTCACCAGAGGCGATCTACCTGGGAGTTGCCGGATTTGTTTAATGCGGATGATAACGATCAAATGGACGAACTCTCACAGGCAGAGTCTAGTATAAATGATGCACACAAACAAAGGGTATGTTCCACGCTTGCCGCTCTTTCGATTTGTGCTAAGCTTTTGCGTTTTGTATCCAAATGGCCTCGATATGCTATGTAAGGCGATTTAAGATATCATTATCGTGTTTGCCAGACATTTGCGCTGACGTCACTGAAGCTCGCAAGTCCTTCCGAGTTCTCCTAAGATTATTGTTTATCTTTTGATCTTTGCTCATTCAAAGGGGTCAATTTGAGTGAGTGTTGCTCTATTCATTTTTACCTTCAAGTCCGAATCCGAAACTTAGCTCTTCTGATTTGTTTACTCGTTTGATTCAGTTTTAACTCAACAAATTTCCTTATGATCCACTGAAGGATACCATAGGAGTACGAAACAGGGTGCATGTCTATCAGTTTTGGTCAGGTTCGACGGTGGCTTCTCATTGTCGGTTTTTAGTGATTCCTAGGCATGAACCCGGAATCAGATTTTCTTATTTGCTTGGATAGTGAAATGACCATCTTCCGTGTGATGGATAGCAGGCGTAACAAACTTCTGGAGCAGTGTGCTTTACCCCACCCACTGGTGTTTCACATACACCATTGTCCAGCTTTGGTGGCTGGGATGTTCATTGTCGCCCAGCTGTGCTGGTGGGGCTTTATGTAGTTCTCTGCTCCAGGTCCAGTGGCTTGGGTTGCCGGTTTCCACAAGTGAACAGTAGGTCCCCGTGACACATTCACCCCATTTGTTCACACTACAATCAAACAGATCAGACAGGCATTTGGATCGTTCATTTGATTTCCAGTTAACATGCTTGAATATCCATCGTTCCTTCAAATCGCTTTGTTATAAGGGTATATGTATTATATATACACAGTGTATATATAATATACATTATATGTAATAAGTGGCTTGTTTCGCTTACTGAAATCATCCTTAACAATTGCGTACTTGGCTATCCACGATTCAGTGCGTCTTTCGTTGGTCGTTTGAGGTTGCTTCTGGTTTTGGAGATAAATCACCCTTCGCCATACTCATTTGTATTATCGACTCCATTTTCTGTGGTGAAGTGCGGATTTTGTACATTTCACCTCGGTGAAGATGAGCTGTTCACACGCGTAAACCAGTGACTTTTTATTCTTGTTAAAAAATGATATTGATACTGTTGTACGCCTTTTAGATAGACTAAACTGAAACGTACTCCCCATAGTTGGATTCGGACTGCATATGTCGCCAGTGTTCTGATCCGTTGATCATCTGTTCTCATCCCATTACCGCCTCCCGAATTCTGCCATAGATTTCCCTTTAGACTCTTGTATTAGTCTTGCACAGAAGAATTAGGTAGAGTAGGTGTCTCGCCTCCCAGNACCGAACAGTAGTGGCGTTCTTGCTGTCGTTTCTTATCAGGCCGGAATGCTTAAAACGGTATGTATACAGAGTTCGATTATGTACTCTCTGTTGACCATCGAAGTTCACCTTCCCCACCCCTCAGAGTAGGTCTACTCCCTGTCCACCTTAAATATTACCACTTACCCCTGTATACATTGCGAGTTTAGCAACGATCAGTGAATTTCGCTTCGCTGTATTTCGCTGTACGATGATGATGTTCAAGGTTCCAGTCACCCCATCTGCGTGGTAGGCAGCTTTGCTATTGTCTGGTTCAGTGCCACGTATAACCTAGCGGGGCTTCATGTGGTTCGTCAGTACAAGTCCCGGGGCTTAGGTTACCGGTTTCCATCACAGAATAGCAAGTCTTCGCGAATATGGGGTTTCACTCGTCTGCTGTTCACCACACAAAATGTGTGTAATAAAAATAGTATGAGAGAGCATCCGACGTGGTTTGATAGTTGTTGCTCCTCTCTGACCCCGTCAACTATACAGGATTGCTTTTTTCGAGTCAACGCTTCTATCATGCCTGAAAGATGAGGAAGTAGAAAAAAGGCAGTCCAATGTTTTGCCCTCCATGTTGGCAGTTCTACTCGAGTTAGAATTTCAATTGGATAATTAATGGACCCACGCAAACGGGTCTCCATTTCTCTTTATCCCGATCATGCGAATTTGCCGTTTGGTTATGGGGACCGACAACCTCCAAATTGGTCTTGTAAAAGCGAACTGTATAATACCATACCACCAAAGTCCGATGGTAGATCGTAGCAAGCTGTCCACAGTAAACTGACCTGGACCGTCACCGCATTTCCCAGCTCAATCCAGATGAATTAGTTAGTGTTTATAACGCATCACTTGGCATTTAATGACGTAATGCTCTGAAGAATGAAGCTATCGGATTTACTTTTCTTCTTTGTTCCTCAAGTTCCCCGATACAACGGATTTGCCAAATTATTCTGATGTACTGCTTGATAGCATTCCTAGTCGGACAACTATTCTCGGTGGAACCTTTGACGACCACGATCGCCGGAAACGTGCTCTGCGTGAACACTTGCGTCGGTGTGATCAAAGGAAGATTCGGCACCGGCACCCTGCTAGTCCCAGCCTTATTCAAAAAGGTGAGTTGTCAGCATGGCTGCTTTTGCTGTTTATAATTACTTCATGAGTAAAATTGTATGCATTTCAGTTTGGTTTCTTTTCGTAGTGTCCGGCGATAGTATTGAGATAAGCAAGTCCTGTTTTCAAGCGCCAATACACCAATTGGAGTTACGGTATTGTATTGAATAACTAGTCGTCATTTACACCTCGACGCTACTTTCAACACCGGTCTTCCTTCTACTCCTTCATCCATATAGGAAGCCAAGAAACAGCAATCAAAACCGCTGCACGAAAGTGCATAAATAAGGGTTATATATATATATATATATATATATATATATATATATATA